GGCCTCCAAACTAGCAACATTTAAAATCCCACCAACAGTGAGAACCATTCTTAAGAAGCCACCCGCCTCCAGGAAGAAGAGGCACATGAATGAGAAGCTTCGCAGTAGGACCAGAGCTGACACAAGCCAGCAGTGTCCCGCTGACATGAGGGATGGGTCCAAGTGGCAAGGTGAGTCCAACGGTAACCCTTGTTTGAGCTGTCGAAAGCCCTTCTATATCAGAGGTCTTAGAAGAAGTGGAATGGCTGAATAATTTACAGTCTGGTTCTTTGAAAATGCCAAAGCTATTCAAGATTTTAGAAAACCCTGGGGATGAGATGAAGCATATAACTGCATATAAGGATTAATTGGAATACCAGGTGAAGCGTGAGGCTCAGCTCTTATGTACCAGTTCTTCCTCACTTTCCCAGGGAGCCCCTGGGCTCTGCTCGCAGTCACAGAGGATGGGTTACTGTGTGCTTTCAGAGGACCCCTTTCCTCTCCCTGGAACACTTTCAGGCCTGCAATTTCACATTTATTTGTACAATTCACTATTTTCTCCTACTGAAATATAGGCCCCATGAGGAAAGAGACCTTTTGTGTTTATTATTTCATTATCGGTATTAGTCCCTAGCACATATGATTGTTCAATGAGTGAAAAAATTAATGCTGGTGGTAGCAACATGAATGATTTTAATTTCCTGATGGCCTGCATTGTCCGAAAATGACAAGTTTTTATTTGTATTCTAATGCTGTATGTGCAGGGGCTGTTTATATAGTGAAGGAAAAAGAAAACTTAGGGAAGCAAACTTTAGCACTGCTTCTGTCTGTCCTCTTGTCTGTGAAACTACAGCCCCACTTTGGAGTCTTTCCTGAGCTGGGGCAAGCCTTGGGAGCCTCGTGATTCAGATGTGCTTACATTTCAGAATCGGGGCAAGAAATCAACTGGCTGCCAGGGATTCTAGCAGCACCCATGTGGACTGTGAGATGGCCGAGGGAACTTGATGCATTCTTGCTCGCCGACACTGGGCTTACATAGAATTCTTTTAAAGATGACTATGAAACATGGTCACAGGCCTGTGGAAAAATCAGAAGTACACGTAGGGTTCTGAGCAGGTGGAGGCAAAAACCTTTCTTTCCTGTGCGTTGTAGGTAACAGAAGTTTTCTTTAACTGCACATGGTATCTGTGACATATAGGAGATTGGCTGGGTTGAGAAGAGAACCAGGATAGGTTAGACGAGATGGCACGGGAACCCAAATCATAATAGCAACATCCAAATGCTCACCGAAGCCTGTAAAAATAGATACTAATTGCAGACAGTGAATTGATGATCTGGAAGTTGTCCTTGGACTCCACTCCTAGAGTACAGATAGATGAAAATGATAAACAGACCCCAAGATTGCACATGAAGAGAGTATAACGTTTTTATGCAAAACATCACAAAGGGATTACAACGACATTTTTTCTGTTAAAGCTTTTATATTCTAAGATTAAAACAAATCTTGGGAACAAAACAAAGTTCCCCAAAAAGTCATCTTCAAACAAAAAATGAACCCCAGTCTTCTGCAGAACTAGATTTTATTTTCTTTATTATTTATAGATTTTATTTACTTGTTTATCGGGGTGGGGGGAGTGGCAGGCAGAGGGAGAAGCAGACTTCCCACTGAGAAAGGAGTCCAATGCGGGACTCGATTCCGGGACCCTGGGATCATGACCTGAGCTGAAGGCAGACACTCACTGACTGAGCCACCCAGGCTTCCCTGCAGCACTGAATTTTAAAAGACACAGGGACACAGGAGCTAAATATATAAAACTTTAAGTAAGAGGGATTGCAACCCATGAACTCATTACTCAGCTGTGTGTTGTTCACAGGTGAGGGTAAGATGGCCTCGTGGGAGAGGGGTAAGGAAGTGGGGAGGCAGGATACAAAATGCTCAGATCATGGAAGTAGTTCAAACCTTTAAGATTAGGGAAGTCGTGGTAGAATATTCTGCAGCAAGCGTATGTTGGTGCCCATCATTTGTGGATGTCATCAAAGACCACCAGGGCACATACTTCTGTTGATGCTTGCTGCAGCAAGAGAGACCACAGGCCATAGAGGACTCGGTGCTCAGGAAGAAGGTGTAAGGAGAGCTTGTTAAAGGACTTGGCATGCGGAGGGGGAAGTAATTTTGAGGAGGGCTCAAGTGAGCAAGGGTTTCTTCCGGATTGGGTGCTGTCAGAAAGGGAGTAATTCTGCAGCTGGGGGACCCACGTTTATCTAAGAGGTAGGGGGCAATGGAACAAGGCAGAGTGGTGGCAGTCACCCAAGTTAGCCACAAGAGGGGGTAGTTTCATCATTTTTAAGGTTTACACAGTACTTGGGTTTTCATTCAGGTGTGATTATAGGATCCCACTTCATCGGGATCACAGAGCGCGACCTGGTCTGATGTCAGAGACTTAGGAATTGTTAATGTTTGATAGAAGAACACCGTGGCCTGCCTATGAGGGCCAGGCCAGCTTCTAGCTCTCAGAAGCAACTTTTTCTCACACAGAAATCACTTAAATAGGTAGAAATAATAGTGTAAAACAACATAAATAGGTCATTTAAATCATACCTATATATGGGGACGCAAAATAGCTTGTGGCCTTTCTAATATCAATTCGGCACCCCATTAACTGGGTTTAATTTTGTGATTGTCGGAGCAATGTTCTCCTGTTGGAGAAGGTACACGCCTTCACTGCCAGGCTTCTGCTTTCCTCCACACTGGTCACATGATCCGATATTATAGTGGACAGACGGGCTCATTGAAAGGCTGCAGAACCAGGAGAGTGGAGGACAAAGGGTCAGATAGGAGATAGTCTGCTGGTCAAGGTTCTTGTGGAGACAGAAGGGAGGTGGGGTCCTGAATAGGTATTCTCTCTGCCTGGAATTACCCACTTCTTGTCTGCCTGGTAACTGCCTTCCCATCCTTCCTTATCCATCTCCCAAGTTCCATCCTCTGATTCCTTCAGTGAACTCGGGCGGAGCTCTCCATTCCCTCTCTGGAGTTTCTGCTGAGCATAGTGCACACCCCCGGGGTGCCCACAGGCTACTACACTGTGGCTTGTTTAGCGCGCTGTCTCCCTGAGTTGAAGGTGACTTCTCCTGGCATCAAGTGCCTCTATGTTTGGCTGTGGCTTCTGGCATATATATGGCAGGTGCTCACGTGACAAACACCCTGTGCTTCCTGGTACTGCAGCCGCCCTGGGTAGTTCAGAGCTCCAAAAACATGTGAGAGCTCTCTAAATCAGCGAATGCCTACCCCTTCCAAAAGGAATAATTTTTGTCAATGAGGTGAAAACACCCTATCCTCTTCCGAAATATTCCAGAACTATTAGTTCTTCAGAATATGAGTATGCTCCGTTTATCATGTTTATAATTTTTGTCAGTTGAGCTTACAGTCTTGAGTCCTCTATTCTCACTGTGCAGGACTGGCACTAATCCATGCACTGGGGTGTATGTGTGGTGGGGGCAGATGTGGTTGCTGCTAATGGAAACACACTTGAATGCTACTCCAGGGGCATGACAAGAATAGATCAGCGCTCGGCGGAACACGCCCTGGAGAGCAGGTGAACCAGTCCAGAGAATTCATCCAAAGGTACAGTGAGGCAGGTGGAACCACAAGGGAGTAGGGTCTCTATTCTGAGGCCTGGATATAGGATTTTATGTCTCCTTAAGGGAAACAAGGCAAGAGATGACTGGTTCCACGTTTTGAGGGAAGGGCGTGAAGGCAGGTTAGGGCTCAGGTCAAAGTGAGGCTGGATGCTATGTCCTCAGGAAGTGTCTCCCACTTCAACTGAGCTCTGGTTCCAGAGTCAGATCTGTGGTTGGCCTGCATGCGGGGGTCAGTGGTTGCAGTATGGACAGAAAAGGCCTGGGAGGACAGAGGGAGAAGGAAGGTGAAGGGCCATTGAATTACGCCAAAATGGACCAGGTCAAGCTTGAACGGCAAGTGGCACAAAGATGCAACTATGACTAATACCCATGTCAGCTCAGAGGCTGGGCCTATTCCTGTGTGGGGAAGTTTTGAGAAGCATGAAGCACTTTTTAGAAGTACTAGGTCCAGGGGCGCCTGGGTGGCTCAGTCATTAAGTGTCTGCCTTCGGCTCAGGTCATGATCCCAGGGTCCTGGGATCGAGCCCCGCAACAGGCTCCCTGCTCCGCGGGAAGCCTGCTTCTCCCTCTCCCACTCCCCCTGCTTGTGTTCTCTAGCTGTCTTTCTCTCTTTCAAATAAATAAAACCTTAAAAACAAAAAAAAAAGTACTGGGTCCAGTTTCTCACACTATTCTGCTATTATGTGGCAGAGAACTCCACCGCCATGGTGTCCTTAGAAAGTCCCTTTCTTTAAAAAACTCTCCCTTAGGGACTCCTCTGCTTGGAATCTTTTGGATTATTATGAACTATACAAAAAGACAAAGAAATCTGATTAATCAACCTGCATTAGTCTCAGTTGCTTCTGTCACATAATCAGATTTTCTTTCTCAATAGCTTGGGTGAGAGAAATCTCAGTGAAGTGGGTGAGGGAAAGAGAGGGTGATGCTTATCTCTGAGCATGGGTGCTTGGGATAAGAGTGGGCTTCTGGGAGATTCAGAAGGAGCAAAGAAGACACTAGAAGCTGAGAGTGAGAGAACCAGGGACACAAGCTGGGGAAAGTCTGTCTGTCTGGGCTGGGTATTTCCCCGAGGTCTCTCTGCTCTAGGCTGCCCGCTACTTTGTTCTGTGGGGCCAGGGCTGGGGTCTGCAAACCGTATTGCTCACATCTCTTGTCAGCGGGCTTTCTGCCAATGGGAGGCACTAGGAGGAGCCTGGGGGTGGGGGGTGGAGATGCTACCTTCTGTCTCCAGTCCCTGTCAGCATCTCTGCAGCCACAGCGGATAGCTCCTGCAGCAGCCCCCCACCCCTTCCCCGCCCTGCCAGTAACAGCATCCCCACAGGCCCGCCAGAGCTGCTGTTACCCACCGCTCCTCTGTGCGCCCGCCCCATCTCAGACATGGTGGCGTCTCTTCCCTGGTACTAGGTGTTACTGTTGCCTGGGTCCCTCAGCTGGACCCGCCCCTCTCTCAGCCTTCTAACCCAATGTAACCATTTCCTTGTATAGACTTTGAAACACCCACATAGTTTCTATGTTCTGGAACAGACCCTTGGCTGTGTGCAGTGTTGTATTTGTCCATGTATGTATCTTTTTATTTATGTGTAACCAGGTATTTAACAGAGGCACATCCAAATGACCCCAAATCACTAACACGAGGGAAAGGAAAAAGAAAAGTCACCTGGAAAAGGAAAGGTTAAGAATTTTAGGCTGAGAAAAAAAAATTTTCGTCTTTAAACTTCTTCCCTGCTTCTTACTGGGTAGGGAGAAGGAGCCTCAAGAATTTGGCCCTGTTAAATAAAATGAGTTCTAATGCCAAAGTTTCTGCAGAGGCTTTGAGTTGCAAAGGAGAAAAGACCAGGGGGGTTGGTCCTTTGTTCAGCAGGCCATCATAGGTCAGTTTTAGATTTGCAGAGAGGCCTGAAGCTTCATTGCTCAGGGAACAGAGAGTCTCTTGCTTTGCATTGGCGATCTGCAAGAATTTTGGAGATTCTTAGAGAGATACCAATGAAGGCGGGAGTGGGGAGGGCCTGAGGACGTGCACAACCAGCAAATATCCCAAATGACCAATGAATTTAGAATATCGATATCTCACATTTGACTAAATTTTAACTACAAAAGTTACATATTGATATAGGGTCACCATATCGTATTCAAGAAATTTAAAACCACATGGAGTAAAAAAAGGAAGAAACCCTCATTTCCCCACTTTCATCCCCCTCCAGCAGGCGTCCAAGGAGATCCTGTTGTGTATATTATCCACTAACTTTCTTTTTTCACTTAACAGTACATCTTCCAATGGCTAAATAACATTCCTTATCTGGGTATCACGACTCATTATAATGTCAGTTGGTATGCATTTCTCTTGTTTCCGATTTTGAAATTACCATAAAAAGCGATGCCTTGTGACTTACCTACTTGCACTGGAGCAAGAAATTCAGTGGGAGAGATTCTGAGAAGAAGAATTACTAGCCTCAACGTGGGCACATTTAAAATGCTGACACGGCCAGACTGCCCTAAGCCGGGTTCTGTGAAGCCTCCTGTCAGCGGAGTAGGAGAGCACCTGCTTTTCCACATCCGCACACAGAGCAGAGAGTAGAGATCTTTTAAAATGTTTTCTACTTTGGGGAATCAGGGCACCTCTTTGTATTTCACGTTCCCTTGATTAACAATGAGGCGGAGTACCTCTCATGCCTTCATTAGCCAATTGCATCTCTTTTGCTATGAATTGCTTTTTTTATAGCCTTTGCTTATTTTTTTTTCAATTGGATTGTCCATTTCCCTTACCAGTTTATAGAAATTCTCACATGCATCGTGCTATGCATCCCCGTGTGTTTCCTATATCCATGCATAGACTGGCTTGTGTCCTTACTGGAGTGGCACAGCTGGGAGAATGTGAGCTGCTGGTTTCGGGATGGAGGGACTGTTCACGGAGAAGGCAGCCATGGTCAAGAGAAACAGACGAGAGATGGAAAGAGGGAGTCTGTCTTCAATCACCTCTGTGGGGTGAGGGCTGTGATGTGTTGAGGGAAATCACATGATTTGGAGATAAACGGATTAAAGTTCATTCCTTACTAACTGCGATTTTGGACAAATTAACTTCTTAAGGCTCAGTTCCTTGTACTGTACAGGAGATTTAATGACATTCACTTTATATAGGATTGTTGTGTGGAATAAATGAGCAAATTCATGTCAAGGACTTGCTTCAGGGTCTGGCCCTCCATGTTTGAGCAGTAAACAGTTTATAGTGTGAACCCAATAAAAGGAGACACAGAGGTGCCTTCTAACATTTCAAAGGGCCATGGACACAAGCTGATGTTAGCTTACCATATTATTATCCCTTTCTCATAATGTACTGGAAGTCTGTGAAATACTCCCGAATACTCTTTGCTCAGAGTTTGGAGACTGGAACATAGTCCTGAGTGTCAGGCCACCTCCCACTTCCACCGATTGGCAAATGAGGACTTTGGGGCTGGAGGTGAGGACGGGGCTCACTCAGGGTAGGGAACTGTGCGGGGGAACTGAAGGGAGAAAGGCAGAAGTTGTCTCCACCATGGCTGGAACAAAGGCACTTCTGACACTGGAAAACTTCATTAATGGAATGTTTGTACCTTGTAACTCCTATATCGATTCTTATGATCCATCTACGGGGGATGTATACTGCAGAGTGCCAAACAGTGGAAAAGAAGAGGTGAGTGGTGCACCTGGCTGGGGCAGCGCATTGAGCATCCCTTGGTTTCGCTCAGGTCCTGCTGATCTCAGGGGCATGGAATCGAGCCCCGCACTGGGCTTGTGCTCGGTGCGGAGTCTGCTCAAAGGCTCTTTCTCCCTTCCCCTCGGCGCCTCACCCTCCCTTTCTTTCTCTCAAATAAATAAATAAATCTTAAAAAAAAAAAAAAAAAGAAGAGGTGAGTATATTCACCTAGGGAAGATGGAAATGTACTTCCTGTGTTGATGGATTTCATGTCACTTACTTTTCTAGGAGCAAAGGGAGTTGGGGAAAAGGTGTAGAATTGTTAAACGCTGGCAGGAGGAAGATTTGAGTTCTGGGAAGGTTTGCTTTGTAATGGGACTTTTAGGATGCAGGATTCCCTCGCTATCCAAAAGGAGAGTGTTCTTAGGACATCTTTTGAAATGGCATAAAGTGAAGAGTATCCCCCATTTTCAGAAAGTTCACATTATGCCACTTTGCATTTGGGAAAGAAATACTAAGTCTGGAAATGGCTTTTTTTCACAGAAGTGAAAATCCTCTTCGTATTTCTTGCGGTTAGCGAAAACAGGTGCTAATAGAAAAGCGAAGTGACCTCCTGTGAACTTTCAAAAGGGGATATCTATGCCTGGAACAAAGCCCATGACTTTGTGCAGAAGCAAGCAATTAATCAGGCAACTTAACACACAGCTGCATTTCTCAGCCATTCCTTATTAGGGGTCTAGTAAAAAGTATTATTTGTTAAGAATGATCAGTGTTTCTGTTTCTTTTTCTTTACCAAGTGCTGCCTAACTTTGCCAGTATATTCATGGATTTCTAAAAAAAAAAGAAAAAAAAAAACAACTTGTTACTCCACTAAAACGAGCAGAAGTGAAAAACCCAGGGATTTATTTTATATTATCCTCTAAAAATGCCTTATGTCTTTAAAATATCTAGTGAAGTAAAACTGATCACTTGAATGATGAAATGCAAGATCAAATTCCCATATATTTTTGCAGTGAAATTTAAGACCATCCTTTTTCTTACTCAAAGTGCTTAATGGCACAAACATTAGAATTTTATTTGAGAAGTTCTATAAGATGTTGGAGATATATTTAATTAGTTATCAGTTTATTGCATTGACAATGTAAATGTGTCTGGGGTGATGAATGTGGCTGATGTATGTATGCTCATCTAAAGCGTAATGGATTTTATTTTTTAAGGCACAAAGAACTAGATTATTTAAAAGGTAACTGTAGCCTTCATATACAAATAAGTATACGTAAATAAGCCTTCATATATATTAAGCTATTATTTCTCTTTTGTTAACTATATTTTAAACCCGTCTTGCATTAAAAAAACCTTTAGACTTGTGCACAAAAATTTGCAAACATTGGCTAATCTGTTGGTTAAACTGTAACCCACAATTTTGTTTGTTTCAAATGACCTGGGACAGATGTGGGAAATCCAGCTTTGTGTTATCCAATCCTCCTGGTCTCGAAGTGTTTTCCCAAAGTGCAGTAAAAAAATGACAAATAGGACAAATTTAGTTCTGTGGCTAATGGCTCATGCCTTTTCAGAGGATAGAATTTGGTATGGCTGCATCTGCTAGTAGAGAAATAAATATTTTGGATTTCCCAGCAATTTAAATTGCAAATATGCTCTCTGATCCCGCAAGTCCCAGTTTTTGCTGGTTTGAAAAATATCATCAACATACAAGCTGCATGCCCAATTTTGCAGAAAGTCTCTTACAGAAAGTGTTGCTGGTGCTGCTAACAGGTTTTGCTCTGTGCTCTGCGTTCACTAAGCCGTCTAACACAAATTACCCCCAATGTGAGTCATAACAACCTACAAATAAGACTCTCTCATCATCCTTATTCCACAGACGACAGTGAGCTAACATTCTCATCTCTGATGCCTAGATCAGTGGCCACACACACACATTTGTCGTGGCATTTACATGGTAGCTTTGCAGTCCATAAGCACAGACCAGAGTCAGATCGCCTGTCTTCAAAGACCAGCTGCATCCCTTAGTATCTACTGTCTTGACTTAGAGCTGAACTTCCTTGTGCCTCAGTCTCCTTACCTATCAAATGGGAATAACAGTAATACCTGTCTTCTAGTGTGGTTCTGAGGATGAAGCAGACTGATAGATGTGAAGCCTTTAGTGTTTGGCATATAGTAAAAGCTTTCTAGGTATTAGCTTTTGCTCATATACATTAATACGTATTCTATATTACACAGACATAAGCCAACTTAGGATGACTGGACTTGAGTTTTCTGCATAGCAAAAAGCTTAGATTTCACATCGACAGCCTCAGGAAGATGAGATTTTACTCTGAGCACGGGAGGAAGGAACCCTTCTCTTGTTGGCTGGCCGCCAGGCCTCAGGGAGGCTGCAACTTCTGGTGGAGAACACCACGGCCCACGCTCTTCCTTCATCCTGTCTGTGGGTCCACAGTGGAGATTCGGCTTTCCAACCGAAAACACCACTTTTCCACAAATTTATAATTAAGATGAGGATCATTTCATCCTTTATTCAGCTCAGCTGGAAGTGACTCTGGTTATAAAGAAAACAGAGGAGGAGTGTGGATCAGATTTTGGGGGAGAGGCGGCTGAATTATCAGGTCCCGTGATGGCGAGAAAGATGCTCGTGGTTGCCTAAAGCCTGTGGAAAAGGATTCTGAGGCAGGGCCTGGGCCCGGGGTGAGTGAAAGCTGTGAGTGATTATAAAGTCCTGTCATGCGTGTGAGAGGGGAGAGGGCTGAGACACAGGCTAGGGATTTGTTATCTCTGGGAAGGACGTTGCTTTGACTTTGCTGAAGATCCGAAGACTCATTTTGTCTTGCAGGAATTGGCCTTGCCTGAACCTTTCCAGATAGTGTTTCCTTTTGGATTTGCTCCAAAACCAGGTCTGCAAGCTATCTGTTCCGACACAGATGCCCTCCATCCCCACCGAGGCCTCTGTCACTGGGCAGCGCCAGGCGGGGCACGGGGACCGTGGCTCTGCCGTAGCAGGCCAGCTGTGGTCTTGGAGGCACAGAGAGCCGGGCTTGAACCCTGATGCGGCCACTTACTAGCTGTGTGACCCTGCCAGGTTACTTGAGTTCTCCGTGCCTCAGTTTCCTCATCCGCAAAATGGGCATAGCAAAGTCATGGTACAGAATTTTAAAACAGGTTCAATGACATAATTTGTGTGTTTAGCATATTCCTTTATATACAAAAATTAGTCAATGACTATTATGATTAGTCATTCTGAGTGGAAATGACAATCTGAGGATACGATTTCAAACAAAATTTTAGACTTGGGGCACCTGGGTGGCTCAGTCCTTAAGCGTCTGCCTTCAGCTCGGGTCATGATCCCAGGGTCCTGGGATCCAGCCCTGAGTCGGGCTCCCTGCTCCGCGGGAAGCCTGCTTCTCCCTCTCCCACTCTCCCTGCTTGTGTTCCTGCTCTCGCTGTGTCTCTCTGTCAAATAAATCTTAAAAAAAAAATTTAGACTTTATCAGATATGTTGGATCTGGATTAAAAGCTGAGAGATTCTACACATCTACATGAAGTGAGCTCTCCTAGGCTATTCAAAAAAATTTTTGTATTTTGACATGATTGAAAATGTGCGTCTATTAAAATTCAAATAGCTTCTTTCTGATGGCCTCATCTGAATACCCTGGTCGAAATGGAGCATTCTTCTTTGTTTTTGTGCGGCCCCTGATTCACTGATTTTGCAGGTAACTTGGCAGGAGGAAGTATTGAATATTTGAAACCAGTCAGAAAAAAATTAAGTGTGGGTGGACCTGTGGATTCTGGATTCATCCAACCTCAGGAGCAATAGTCTTTTTTTTTTTAGATTTTATTTATTTATTTGACAGAGAGAGACACAGCGGGAGAGGGAACACAAGCAGGGGGAGCGGGAGAGGGAGAAGCGGGCTTCCGGCTGAGCAGGGAGCCCGATGCGGGGCTTGATCCCAGGATGCTGGGATCATGACCTGAGCTGAAAGCAGACGCTCAATGACTGAGCCACCCAGGCGCCCCAGGAGCAATAGTCTTAAGGTGACCCTCTTCCTCTTGGTCCTCAAAGATTGACGCCGCGGTGGAGGCGGCCAGAGCAGCCTTCCCCGGCTGGGCGGCCCGGAGCCCGCAGGAGCGCTCGCAGGTGCTGCACCGGCTGGCCGATCTGCTGGAGCAGTCCCTGGAGGAATTGGCGCAGGCGGAATCCAGGGACCAAGGTGAGTGCGGGGCTCAATGCAAAGTGCAGCGCCAGGGACACGTACCCTCCTTCCAGCTGGTCAGGTGACCTCTTGCAGACCTCTTGCCTCTTAACCACAAGGGCTGGGACTCGGGTACTTCCTCCATATTAGCGGCCCCCGGCCCCATCAGGCTAGCCCGCACCCGAGATTCTCATGGCAGAGGTGGAGTTGGAAAGAAAAACCACCCAGGAGGCTTGCATCTGGCCGACTCCCCCACTCTGATGGTCCAAGCAGGTCACAGTTGAGTCCAAGTTCCAGGGCCAAGGACATAAATACACTTTGTCCATTTGGTGGAAGGCACTGCCAAGGTTTTTGGCAAAGGGCGTGGATGTGCGGAGAGAGGAAGAGGGCCGATCGTGCAATTCTCCACCAGTTCTAGGCAGATCGTTTCAAAGCAAAAGTAACTGAAGAGCCATTACAGTCACGTTATTTAGAAAGAATCGGATATGTCAGTACTGCACTCCTCACACAGCTTCCCAATTTTTATCTCCTTCCCAGAGGCATGGGTAATGTAGTAAATGTCCATAAATCCTTGCAGTAATATCTGTTAGGAAAACCCGAGATCTTTTAAAGTCATATACATGCTATAAATCAGCTTAAAGTTAGGAAGCAGCCTGAGTCCAAACCCTTAAGAAGAAGATGTTTCCTGTTGGTGCTGCTGACACTGGGAGTCCCCCTGAATCACCCAAGACAACTAAGGAACAATCCAGAAAAGCTATGTTTCTCCTTTTGTTCAATCCAGGAGCTAGGGCGTGCATGGGGCACATGGTGAGTAAGCGAGTGCCACACAGCATCCTCGGGGTCCCCTCAGCCGTTCTGCCACGTGCCCATCTTAAGGACTCCACCATGTGTTGGGGAGACATTTAGTATACATCACTGTTTGTGATGTTCGTCAAAGTGGTTTTATTGTGTCATGCAGATACAGCTGTCTTAACACCCATTACTCCAACCCCTTTGTAGCATGTACAAAGCTTGGTGATTTTGAATTGAAAGAGCTGATGTGAGCAGAGTGGTAGCATCTGGCGGGTTCATGATAGCCCTGAACTGTTCAGCCCATAAAGCATAGATTATTTCACTCGATTTTATCTGATAACGTCACACCTAATTATTTCATGGTTCTGTGAAACCACAATCAGCTGTCTGTGTCGTCAGGGGATGAAGTCTCAGGCTGGAAAGAACCAAGGCTCCGTGAGCGTGAACTGGGATCCATGCGTGATCGTGTCTCCACTGTCCCTGGTGAGGTATGCCGACCGTGCTTTCTGTCGTTGACTTCTTACAGGGAAAACCATAACACTGGCAAGAACCATGGACATTCCCCGGTCTGTGCAGAACTTCCGGTTCTTCGCCTCCTCCATCCTGCACCACACATCAGAGTGCACGCAGATGGACCACGTGGGCTGTCTGCACTACACGGTGCGGGCCCCTGTGGGGATCGGTAGGTGCTGCTCAGGGAAAGCCTGGTCTGCGGGGGTGCGTAGGGATGCTCCCTCAGTTCTACAGAGCTCATCCAAAGGAACACACCAAGAGAAAGGAAAGAGCGGACTTATACTTTGACCGAAAATTAATGGGCCTCAAAAATCTATTTCTGGTTTATTTTCCTTTTGTCACATTACCTGCATATTCCTAGAACATTGTTCTCAGGAAATTACCAGGAAAAGAATAATGCTGGGAGGAGATTCACATACGAAGATTCCCCCGCCCCCCACAATTTAAAAAAAAAAAAAAAAGTTTATTTCCAGAGAGTCTTGAAGTTAATAGCATGGATTTTGGATATGTGCAGGGCCAGGTTCATAATATTTGTATACTTCAGGATTCTTACCTGAAAAACTGGGAGCATAGTTTAATTTTATATTTATATATTTTAGTGAGAATTAAATAAATTAGTAAGTGTAGGGCACTCTGAATTAGCTGCTTCCTGCTTTCTTTTGGAGGACATGTAAACATGAGCAATGACTCAAAATATCCACTAGAGGTCACTGTTCCTCCAACCACCAAATACCCATATTTATTAGTTACATTTTATGACAGGATAAATAAATTAAAAGGAACGAAAATGGGACATATTACCACCTTGGTTATTTGAACCCTTTGGAAATCATATTTTGAAGGAATTGTAAAAGCTCAAACCTCCCTCTTGAATGAATAATGCTGAAAAAATATTCTGTTATCCTCTAAAGAAAAGATTTTCTAACGAGAAATATAATCATATAGAATATATGTTTACTTTCACAGCATAGATTTTAAGGGAGGGGTATAAAATAAGATGAATCCATTTACAAATTCATAAGGTAGATTTTTTTTTTTTTTTTTTGTCATGCTTTATGGTTGGAAACCTGGTTGGTTTCAGAATATCGCATGGGGACACGTTCTAGATGCTGGTTCTGTTACTTATTTAGCAGTCCTATCTGGTCATGAAAGAGGTGAGAATCTAGAGAGAATTTTTTATTAAAAAGTCCTCTGGCTAACCAAAATGGATCTCATAGTCTATGAATCAAAATTCATTGGCTTTACTAAAAGGAAGGCTTCCACAGGACAGACTCAGAACCCATTTGCTCTTATTTTACCAATAATTCTAAAAAGCTTGAGATTTTATGTCTTAATCCACAACAGGTTAGAAACAGTGATGGAAAAACTTAAAAGAAATAGTAGCTAGACAATTTGATGATGAAGAAGGAGAGAGAAGTTTAAAAAAAAATGTGAAGGTCAGTCTATAAATCTCAAAACTCATCACATTCAGAAACTGTTTGGTAACAGGTGACAGCCTCTTGGCCCTGGCGCTTACATTGCCCTTGTTCATAAATACAATTGGTACATCGTCAAGAAAAGAGTAAATTGTATTGATTTATAGTTTTCAAAGACACAGTTGCTTGTAATACATTTTAGAGTTATTTCCCCGAAGTTGGCTACAAGTAAGCCAAAGCTTTATGCAGGGTGAAGGAGTTCCATGTTAATAAACCCAATTTGGCCAGTCTAGTTTGAGGGGCCTGCCATTGGTGGCAGTGTTTCTGTTCTCCTCTTGTAGCCGGTCTGATCAGCCCCTGGAATTTGCCACTCTACTTGCTGACCTGGAAGGTGGCACCAGCCATTGCTGCTGGCAATACGGTGATAGCCAAGCCCAGCGAGCTGACTTCGGTGACTGCGTGGATGATGTGCAAACTCCTGGAGAGAGCAGGTAATGAGCGTTGGGTCTGGAGAGGCACAGGATTGGCTTTGGGGTTGCACATTTTATGCGCTTCAGCCACCTCAGCATCCTGACACTTGAGAAGTTGTTTTGGATAGAAATCTGCTCAGAGCAAAATTGATTCCATCGACATCTTTGGTTTTCCTCTCTCTGATCCTTTTATGAGAAATCCCCTTCATGCACAGGGTTGGATCACACTGCTTCCTCTCTTCACCCCTGTCCGTGCCGCTGCAGGAGTGGTTCCCCCGGCAGGGGGGTTGGCAGGCACTTCACAACTGTGAAGTGACAGCAGGCTTAACGAACTCAGTCAGCTCAGATACCAGTCTGCTCCTGGGATTGTCTTCAGTGGTCAATTTAAATCTTATATTTGAACCACATGTTAACCTTGATGCAAATAAGACTACTGTTAGGGACTTCTCTGGTTTGTATGGTTATACGATACCTGCTAGAAATAGCCATTTTCAGGAGATTTGAATACACCTCCCTCAGTTTTCCCTGCATTTGGAGCCAATGTGTGGAAGCTGATACAATACGGCTCCATGTCTTCTTTATGTCAACAGCGTCATGGCCACATTCAAGGTATGTTCCTGGGTACATTCTGGGGTATAACTCAGCATGGGCACAGATACCGCACCAGGGTTGGAGGGTGTCAGGGGACCCTAACTTGCAACCTACAAGAAAGCCCCTTGCTATTAGGTCCCTGAGCTCAGGTCTTCATACACACCCTGGGTTGGGATGATGGGTGGCTGTCTTTCTGTCTGTCAGTCTCTGCTGTTTGTACTTCCTTAAAGCCCACAGAAAAGGTAGCACTGGGCTCACCCAATCCATAAGGTAGGTGGTTGGAAAGAACCCATATCTCCCTCTTCTGGATACCTTATCTCTCCAAGCAAAAACATACATATTGGCTTCCAAAAAAGTTGGGCCAGTTCTTTACTCTAGGATTTAGATGGCAGGTTGAACTGTGTGGCCTTATGACCCTAGTCTAGCTTCCCATTTCCCTTGTATTGTACAGAGGAATGAGGCCTCCCAGCTTCAGCCTTTGGGTGACATTTATGGATGCCCTAGGCTTCTGGAGGGTTATGATAGAAATGTGCCTACCTCTCCCATGTCCCACAGGTGTCATTCCTTCTTTACATGAGGGATCACATTCTAATGCTGTTCTTTGCAAAATTAAGTGGCTAGTGTCTACAGAGGTGCAGGGCCTTTCCTCCCTGTCTGTTGACTATAGATTCCCTGGAGTGGTCAGAAGTGGGGCCGATGCTCTGCTGTGATCTATGTTGGGGAGGGCAGCCATGCAGGTGGGGTGGTGCCACAGAGCTGTGTTCCCAGAACCACTCTCTTTTGAAGTCAACCACATCTTGATCTATGATGATTTCTCTTCCCTAAGCACTCTCCCCTTCCATACACCCAGCACCTGGTGTACACAAGAGTTTTACATTTCCATGTATTTACACAGCATTGATCTTATTTCTTGTGAATGAATAAGCTTGTTATACCAAGACAGTTCTTCCCTCCTTCCCTGCCTCTGCTGGCTTTGCTAAACTTTCTTCCTCTGGCCACCACGGAGAGTGTAAGGCTCAAATTGCACCTGTCTTAAGCCCTCAGTTTCTCCATTTGGATTGAGAATCTGTACGAGAAACGTTTAATAGTGTAAGAAAAAGAAAGCTAACATGACCTGCTGGTGCATTCTGGATATTTAAAGAGCCAATCCTTGAGTCCTGAGCATTCAAACAGACTTGACAGATGACCTTCCTGTGCAGTAAAATCATTTTAAAAAGTATACAGTGAGTACCTCTTTTATAATTCTAGAGTATTCATTTCTTCTTGGGGGTACCATATGTATGCCTCATTCCTGGAGTGTCCACTGAGAGCAGATTTCTGGCCCTTCCTAGTTTTGTTTTGCCCAATGGAAGCTTGCTGCCACTCTGCCACATCTTTGTCCCTGGTGGAGGGACTTTATGCCCTGTGATGTCTGTTAGCCATTTACTCTGAGTTTTACCAAATTGCTATTTGCCGATGTAGTGCCTTCTTTCTCTGATAACTGTCATATCTTAAGGGCAGAGGGCAGATGTCTCTAGAAAAATTTCATTACTGTCTCCATCAAATGGCAAAGTGGTGCTGAGAAATAATGGCCAGTAGGTAGCTCTTAACATATTAACACCGAAGTTCAAGGAAATGTAAAGCGTTAATGTCATTGTGTAGAAGGCAATTGGCCTGCTGAAATGAACTCATTTTCCCGGGGTGATACCTATGTGGTGTTTCTAAGTTTTCTTCACTCTTCGTTAAAATGCTGTTGTATACATTAGAAGTGATTTGATCCATTTTTGCCTTCAGGATTTATAAAGCCCCATAGCCCACCTTCTCTTGCCCCCAAACCCCAATCAGAAAATATTGGGCAAATATTCACATGCCCACTGTCTGATGGAGATGCAGGACCCCACCCTGCAAATGGTGGGAAACTTGTCCTTGTTTCTCCCCCACTGACCACTGTGAGGGCCCCTCTCCTGAGCCTCCTCTTTGCCCCAATGTGGGGCTCAGCTGCTCTCACATGGTGCCTGGCCTTGGACCTCCCCTCCATGGCAGTGACCTGTGATACAGGACCGACCCAAGCTAGATTTTAAGAAGTCTGCACATGTGTGTAAAGGCGGGGCTACTGGAGGTGAAGCTCTGCCAGATACCACCATGAGTCACTGATCTCCACACCTGTCTCCAAGGCTCAGCTGAAGAGGGCCTCGTTTGTCCCCTCAAGTGATCAGGCTAAGGTTCTGGCTCAGTGGGAAGGTGTTCTGGATGATAGTGGATCATCAATGAGAACTTGTTATTTATACTTTAAAAGCATATTCTGGAAGAGATGGTTTTAATCCAACAGAGTGTGTTTCTATTCAGGACAGAATGTCCAACCTGGACAGGGAAAGATAGTGGGAGCAGGGAAGGTAGTTCAAAAACCTTACACATTGGAGGTTTTATGCATTTGCTGTACTTCGAGGCTGAAGAAATATGGGGAATAAACTCAGCTAACCTCCAGACAAACCCTAAGAGCTTCCTGGACACAACACAATGGCACACAATGGCTCACAGATTTTCTTTCTGGACACATAAAGCTTTCCAGAGTCAAGGACCATTTCTGATTTGGATAATGTACACGAAGACTTTATTCATTCATTCACTTAATTATTTGTTAACCATCTACACTGGGTTTTGCCTCCTAGTGGCTGCTATTTGACTTCACTTTGCCTCAGTTTGGATAAGGTGAGGATATTAATCCTCCCTACCTCATCCAGTTGCTGGGAGATCTAAATCGCTTCCAGGAATGATTGGCCTACAGTGAATGTGAACATTTACTGGTATTAATCTATCTGGCAAACTAGGGCCAAGGCACAGTGGGGACTGTGAGGAGCAGAACACAGACACCATTTTTGCCCTTGGATTGCACATCTGCCAGTGTTGGCTAGGTAATAAACAAGTAAAGCCATAAACACATAAAAAAAATACACGCAAATGTAAGGCACTAGGGTCTCATGCTAGAAAGATGGGGGCACCTGTTTTAGGGTGTACTTGGCACTTTAAGTCAGTCCTAGAGTGTATGTCCATATCATGGGACACAGGGACCTTTAACTCAATGCTCACCTTCAATCTTACCTTCAATGCTCACAGTCAATCTCTTCTTCCCTCCACTTCACATTTTCACACTGAATTGTGACTCCTGAATGCCAACTTGGAGCAGGGTTCTCCTACCTTACAGGGCTTGGCCTGCCTGAGGATATCTCTATGCTCTCAGCCTCTGATGCCTAGTTAATATTATGGAATGAATTAATTAGAATGTTCCACTCTTCATTTTTCTAAGGCAAAGCACCTGGAGAAATCCCACCTAGGGGGCACTGGAGGTGGAGGTGGTGCCATAGTCTTTGCTTTGCTTTTAAACTAGAGGCAGCCATAAAAGTCTACTCCCCCCCCATTCAAGCTACTGCACTTTCAAGGAAAACCTCAATGTCACCCGAAATTCTCAACATACTGAGAAGAATTGCTGTTGTAATTTCTGTTACTGTTTCTGTATCCTATCCGGATACAGACCTGGAGACTGTTCTGTTTCCTGTCCAGGTGTCCCACCAGGTGTGGTAAATATTGTGTTTGGGACAGGGCCCAGGGTCGGCGAGGCCCTGGTGTCCCATCCGGAGGTACCCCTCATTTCCTTCACGGGGAGCCAGCCCACAGCCGAGCGGATCACACAGCTGAGTGCTCCCTACTGCAAGAAGCTCTCCCTGGAGCTGGGGGGCAAGAATCCCGCTATCATCTTTGAGGACGCCAACCTGGAAGAGTGCATTCCAACGACTGTCAAGTCCAGCTTCGCCAACCAGGTGTGTCCTCTGTATTGGTTTGTTTTGTTTTGAGTTTGTTTGTTTGTTTTTAAACTCTGTGACCCAGTTAGGCTGGATCTGTTTCATCACAGTGCCAAGCCAGGAGTGAGTGGGTTAATCTGGTGCTATTTCAGGGAAAGGAGATTGTGACATTGTGTTATTCCACTGACTCTGTTTTGTCTCAGTGTCCACCTGTGGTTCTTGTAGAATCATAGCTTCTGTTGGGCAAGCTCCAGTTCTTGAGCTTTATCAGGTACCAGCCATGGGCAAAATGATTGTTTGCTTCTCCAAGCTTTTTCATCCCTTTATTCATAGAGTCACCCCCATTCTCTTCTTGCTGTCTAAATGTCCTATCTCCAGTAAACCTTGTGCTCCCCCAAAAGCATCCCAAATGCAGCACACATTTAGAAATAAATGCCTAAACCAGTCTAGAGAACGTTTCTGATGTTGGAGTCATGGATGTCACGGAGTCACGGGCAACTTTGCATTTCCTGAAATTATGTGACAGGTGTTTTTCTGGAGGCCTCAGTTCTCAGCAGATTCTTCAAGGCCACAGTATCCCAAAGGGTTAGGAACACTGACCCAGACAGACCAAACTGTAAGCCTCACAAAAAGGGCACCTGTGTCTGCCTTGGGGCCGCATTTGATCTTTAATGCCCAGGATCAGGCTTAGGGTAGAGCAGGTGTGCACAAATACTGAATGATTTTCTCCAAAGGGCCTGCTTTTTAAAAATTTTAGCAGCGAAAAAAGAATTAACTAAAGAGTTAGAACCACCATAGAAAGAAAGATGAGTGAAATGAGATATATCTTTAACTTGCCCAAGTTGCCATAACCTTTTGAACCTTCATTTCTTTGCCTGTGAAATCATGAAAGTAATAATGATGCTTTCCATTAGCGATTTTGTGAGTTGTAGAATGAAAACCATTCCTGACAGTGGTTATTTTCGTGATCATTATATTGTAATTATTTCTCTCGCAGTAATTCTTAGAGAAAGCGGCTTTGCTCTGTACCTCTCTCTATATCTCTATATACAAGTACGTCTGTATCTATAAAGAGAGTTTTTCTGGATCAATAGACTTAAATTTTAGATTTTAGAAAATAGATTTGTAATTTTATGATACAGCTATTTTAATCATTAAAATAAACAAGGATCAAGTATCAAAATGAACAGTTAAATCAAGCATTTGGGCGGCTTATGGTGACAGCATGGGGAGTGGGGACAAGCTGTGGACTGAGAATCAGCTGAGAGGACATTGGGTGAACTCTGCATGAGAGAAAATGCACTCTGAGTGTGGAGATGGACTGTAGCTTCTTGGCTACCAGGACTGTGCCAGAACTTGAAATTGCTGAAAGAACCTTCCTCTTGGGGCTATTTTAAATGTCAGTGGGGAAGAGGACAGGAACCCAACTAGCTAATTCAAGACAACAAACAGACTTTAGGCAAACTAGAGGGGCTCGTTTCTTTTTCCTTAACCGAGAGATGAGTCCCATGTAGTGAACACTTCTTCCTCAGTTGAACATAATGGGCCACTTTGAAACATCTCTGTCACGCGTAGTCTCCTTTGATTGGGGGCACACTCACACTTCGACACGCTGTGGGACACAGAAGAAATGAATGTGGACTTCCACATCACTCAGACTGAAGTTGAAACTTCTTGTGCCTGGTGGCCTTGGGCTTGTGTTTGTTCAAAGCTCCATTTCCTAATTGTAAGCTGGGAAAACTACTGGATCACAGAATTATTATGAGAAGAGCACCCTGCACGGTGCCTGGCATGCAATAAATAATTTCCCTTTTCTCATTTCCTTGAAAGTCATGCCACTAGAGACCCTAGCATTACCTATGCTTTCCTGGCACCAAGTAATCCGGAAAACCCTGACTGGGTAACCCCTCAACTCTCTTTACCACACCCTCCCTTCCCACACGGCAGAGGGCACTTATGTCTAGAGATTTCCCAAGCCAGATATGCAGATGGTTCTTACAGTGATCTTGGGTTGCAGAGAGAATTTTTTGTTTCAAAACAATGATGATTTAATTTGGACAATACACCTTTGCCCAACTGTCAAAATAATTAGAAATATTCCATCCTTTGGATGGTTGTGAAGATCAAATATAAATGTGGTGAAAATTGTTATTTACGTAGATATATACTTACCATACATACTGGTGAAAATTGTTATTTACGTAGATATATACTTACCATACATACATAATGCTTTGAGATGTCTAGACTGTGGTTTGTAAATGATCGCATGTTATATTCAAACGATAGTAAGGATCATTTTTCACTCAGGTTCCTGTTAGCACCTCTGCCCAGAACCTACAGTATCTCTATTCGGATGTCTATTAGGCATCGGAACCTTAACCTGTGCAAAGCAGAACTGTTGATTTCCCTCCCTCTCCTTTCCCTGCAATACCACTCCTCTCCCTTGGGCTTGCTTTTCGGGGGCAGAGCACTACCATCTGCTCTGCGGCTCCATCAAAAACCTGGGACTCAACCTTGTTCTTACCCCAACCTTCTGTCTCACTAATCCATCAACCCATCTTGTTGGCTCAATTATTCTAATATATCCTGGAACCCCTCACTTCCGAGAGCACTGATACCAGTCTTCTTGCACCTTGGGCTCCTGAGTCCCTTTACGAATCTGGTGACGTCGGTGGACACCTATCACTTTGCTCATCTCCGCTGGTCCCGCCCTGGTCCAAGCTACCTCCACTTACCTGGACTTCTGGAATACTCTCTGAACTCTACTCTTGTAGATCCCACTCTCGTTCCCTTCCATTCTATTCTCCACACAGCTGCCGGAACGATCATTTAACAATGGAAATCTGGTCATATCATGCTGCAGCTTAAAGCCTTCCATGGACTTTTCATGATACCGGGAGCAAGATGCAAACTCCTTGTGAGCCTGTGGGACTCGGCGTGGTGTGGCCTTGCTCCTCACCTCCTGCCCTCCTTTCCTACCCTCCCTACCTGCATTCCTGCCTCCACTCCCGGCCTCAGCCCTGCTCGCCTTCTTGCCTCGCCTCACACACCGCACCACAGCAAGCACGCTCCTGCGGCAAGAAGCCGCTCTACCCCGCCTGCTGAGCATTGCCTTCCTCCGCGTCGCCTGGAGCTCAGCTAGCCCCTCCCCATCAATCGAGTGTCAATTCAAATACCCCCTCTTCACAAGGGCCTTCTGGAACTCCCTCTACTAAAAGGGACTAAAAGTGGCACTTTCCCATTGATTTCTATTCCCATCCTCTGCTTAATTTTCTTGTATCACTTTGCTCATGACCTGAAATTATATTATTGATTGAGCACATTTACTTGTGCTGTTGTCTGACTTCCCCACAAGACTGTGTGTTCCCCGGGCGCCTGGGTGGCTCAGTTGGTTAAGCGACTGCCTTCCGCTCAGGTCATGATCCTAGAGTCCCGGGATCGAGTCCCGCATCGGGCTCCCTGCTCGGCGGGGAGTCTGCTTCTCCCTCTGACCCTCCCCCCTCTCATGTGCTCTCTCTCATTCTCTCTCTCTCAAATAAATAAATAAAATCTTTAAAAAAAAAAAAAGACTGTGTGTTCCCTGTGGTGGGACTTTGTTTTGTTGATCAGTGTCTCCCATGGCTGAGACCCGTGCTACGGGCAGGTAGGTGCTCAGAAATGCAGGGTGACCTGCCCATGAAGGACTGTGTCTTGTTGTTGTCCTCACGCGTCATTCTTGACAGGGTGAAATCTGCCTCTGTACCAGCAGAATCTTTGTCCAGAAGAGCATCTATAGTGAATTTCTGGAGAAGTTCGTAGAAGCTACCAGAATGTGGAAAGTTGGCATTCCCTCTGATCCGTCGGCCAGCATGGGAGCTCTAATAAGTAAAGCTCATTTGGAGAAAGTAAGTAAATCTCCACGATGGAAGTTTGGGGAGAAGCTCAGTGTAGAGCACAGCACACAGTCATGCTTTGAAATGTTGTTAATTACTACCCTATTCTTAAAAAAATTCCGACCTGTAGGAAATGGCCTCTGGATACAGAGTCTACAAATGTTAGATATGAATACACAAATGTAACCCAGGTTAAAGCAGCATCTACATGGAATGAATGAATGTGAGAAGTCAGCATGGAGAGCCCATCGAGAGCGAGGAAGACAAATTTCAAAACATAAGGGTCAGCTGATAAGAATGATGTGGACCAAGGGCAGCAGGAATTTCCATTGATAAAAGTTCCCAGTGGAAAGGGTTCTGCCTGTGGCTTACAGCAGATGGAATTCTGGATGTGCCAAGAGGCACGATCCAATTACATGGTCCTTAGTGGGTAGGGTTAGTGGTGGTCTACGTGGGAGAAGCCATTGATGGCCTCTGGCTGGTTTATGGAATTTAGGCCTTTAAGGTCGTCTTAATGGATTACCTGATGTGACTCCTAAGATAAGTCATAGAATGTTGGAGCTGGAGGACCTTGTTTTTAGCCATGGTAACTGAGACCCACCATGGAAAATATGCCCCCATCAGTTGGCCAGTGAGGGACAGAGCCTTTACTTAAGTCTGTAGAAATCTTTGACACTGCACAGATTTGGGAGATTTACTACATTTTAACTTTAACACTTTTGGGGGGCTCTATTTCTTCTGTTTTCTCAGTGAACTAGGAAGCAGGGTGAGGAGGGGAGAAGGTTCGGAGGGTTCAGTAGGGAGGAGAGGGTGTGAAACACTCCTGCAGGTTGTGGACAAAAGCCAAGAATCCTGGATGCCTGGTGGCTCAGTTGGTTAAGTCACTGCCTTCAGCTCAGGTCATGATCCTGGGGTCCTGGGATCGAGTCCCGTGTCTGGGCTCCCTGCTCAGCGGGGAGTCTGCTTCTCCTTTTGACCCTCCCCTCCTCATGCTCTCTCTCTCTCAAATAAATAAAATGTTTAAAAAAAAAAAAAAAAGCCAGGAATCCTAATAGATCTAAACCACAAATTATATTTGATTTTTTTTAAGACTTGAAACATTGACAAGGTTTTAGGCCTGGTGTCATCCTCTCCCTCACGTATCTTAGCCCAGAAATGCCATCTTTTATGAAACCAAATTATGCTGGAAAGACAAGCGTTTATTTAACATGTTGGTTGGATTTTGTTTGCTTACTGTCATTTCAATGTAGTATACTTAGGTGCCATGAATAACTCTGAAAATGGTGATGCTTACAGTTAGCAGGTTTTTTTTCTGACCACATTCAAACATAAGCCCAGATTTATCTTTCAAACAGAAGTTTTTTTAAAACTCCCATGTATTTTTACCCTCATATGTTTTCCATCTCAGTCAGATAACTAAGAAAAGAAATAAACTTTCTATTTTGGAATAACTTAAGATTTATAGAAAAATCTCAAAGATAAGGCAGAGAGTTTCTATATCCACTCATGCAACTTTCCCTTTTACTAACATTTTCTGTGTCCAGGATACACTTGTCTGCACTAAGAAACCAACGGTAGCACGTGACTATGAGCCGAACTGCAGACTTTTCAATCAACTTCCCTTGACCTTCTTCTTGATCCTTATAGAAAATAATTTTTCAGCCACTTGCTTATTAAAATAAAGTACAATTAACTACTCTGTACTCATCTCAGAACGCTCCATGGCTCTACTGCTTTTAAGGAGAAAGATTTTGTACACACAGTTAAAATTTTCAAAATAATTCATCATTGGCCAATGCATTTTCTTTTTCTTTTTCTAGGGAAGAGCACTAAAGATGTATTCCTATTAGTCCACCACGTGTAAACTTGCTGCGGTCAATGCAGCTCTCTTGTTTTGTGGTCCTACAGACTGGATCTCTCCCCGCTAGAGGAGAGCGCCCCTCAGGTGGGCTTACTTTGCCTCCCCCATGTGAAGCCCCAGGGCTGTCCTGCTGAGGCTCCGAGGGTTCCTCGACGTCTGCCATCCTCACTGTTCCGCCCTGAGCACGAGTGCCCAGATGCAGGGAGTCACGGCTCCCCGCTGTGAGTCTCCCACCAAGTGGACCCACGACGGGTGGCTCGCGGATCCATTCTTGTGGGGAGGCCCTGCGTATCTCGGCCCTTGAGAGAGAGAGCTAATGGAAGCAGCTAGGGCCCTGTAAGTGTGGCCGTTGCAGTGGGACTCTTTTCGGTTTGGTGTGATGCTTTGGAGATCAAGGAGGGAGTGGACACGTTCCACTGGTAGTCATCTTTCCTCGCCTCTGCCCAGAAAGCTTTCTGGCCTTTCTCCTGCGTCCAAGGAGGCCTGGCGGTCATCTTTGTATTCCACTTCGCCTCTGCAGTTTGTCTGTGTCTTCTTTGAAGCAAACTAGCCCTGCAGAGCCTGGGGTCTTTGTGTCCATCTTACTACTGTGTGGTTGTCACGATAGATGGCGAGGCAGTGCCAGAAGAGTCCAGTTAGAATATGTAGAAGCTGTTCCGTCATGGCAAAGGGCGCAGAACCTCCCAGAGATGCAGCTTGCTCCTATGTGGGTGAGAGAGACTCGCCCGCCTCCCAGTGATGCAGGTGACTCTGTCCTCAAGGAGTGAAGAAAAGGCTCTCTGCCTGTTTCACAGGTTGCTTTTTGTTTTTGCTTTAGTTCTTCTTTTTACCTCCTCGAATGCTTTTCCATGTGGCTGTCCAGAGCTCGGGCTAGATGCCAGCCTGTCCCAAGATGCAGGAAATCGGAGATGGAATTCTGAGTGTTTACAGTGAGGCTGGCAGAGCGCAGGGCACGTTCACAGGTGCATTCCCCAATGGGGCAGGCTGCAGGCCGTTAGCAAAGGTCCGCTTTTGCAGGTTGCTATCTTCTTTTGTCGGGTGGGCTCGTGTCTGAAGTCTCCCAGCTCGTAAGCGTCAGATGGTGTGTTATACCATCACCTTCTTCATCAGCAGCACCAGTTGGTGACTGGCATTCAAAAGACTTACTGCAAGCCAGGCATTACGCTAAATATTTTACATACATTTTATCTAAGCTTACGAATAGGTGGGAATGTTAATCCCATTTTCAGAGGGGAAACTGAGCATCGAAAATCTCTCAGTGAGCAAGTGGAGGCTCTGGGATTTGAACACTTGGGCTCCCCTGCCCGCCCATCTGACCTCTGTGCTCAGATTTTAGGGGCAAAGCTATGAAGTACTAACTGCTCTCTGCTCTCAGAGAAAGTTTTGTAGTAATAATTTATTACATTTTAGGGCATATTACCAGTCATAACATTTTCTTTTTTCCATATTTTCCTGAAAATCTCAGTTCCTGAGATGCTAGTATAGATATCATTCTATCATCCAGAAAATAAATTTAGTTTAGTGTGAGTCATCTTATACGTTAAAAATCTTGAAAAGTTCACAATTTGAAAACTGACACTTTCCTTCATATTTTATTATCCAAGAGTCTCTAAGAGATAATCATGAGATTCCATATAGATGAGATCATCTAAAGCCACTCCGTGTTTGAATCACGGAAAAAAGTTCTGGTCCTGTGTTCAGCAGGCGCCCCGGAGATCTTTGCCTCGACTTCCCCTGTTCACGCGCTATGCTGCCTTTGGCATCTTTTAATTAATCTGAGTGCGTTGTTTCAAGAGGAGTAAGAGAATAGGGGAAAGAGAAGTCCAGACCTAATTTACTCTCTACCCACAAACTAGACTAGGGCTTTTCTGGGAGAGCTTTGAGATCACTGGGCATGTTGGGGGAAAATGTATAACAGAGCGGAATACGAAGCTGTTCCAAATAATATATTTTTTAGAAGTCTTTGACTTCACGGCTTATTAAGTGTTCTATAACTTAGAACAAAATCAATAATAAAACAACATTACTTTTTTATTTTTACATGGAAAACACATAGCTCTACATTGAATATAGTTCTACAATGGAGTACTTACCTAATCCTGGGGCAGAATGCTCAGATAAATATTTGATAAGCAGGGATCCAAAGTATGACTTCAAAATTTCCCCTGCCTTTGATGTACTGCCTAACTGTTGTTCTGTACTTCTAATTTTTGGGATGACTTTTCTACTTCTCCTATACTTATAATACCCCTCAGGGGTAGGATAAGGTATCATTGTGACTGCAACAAAATTTCCATATATAAACGTACGTATCATTTTATAATAGGTCATTTCTACAACCATTGTTAATAAACATCTGTCACTGTCTCCGAGTTATTGGGTTTACTTTTTACATAATTTATTTCCCATTATAGTTAGCTATTCTGTATTAACTAGATGTATTTTCAGAACATAATCAGTAGTGAGACTAGAAGTTAGAAATGATTTGTTCTGGAAGCCTAGCTATTGAAGGGCATCTTGGCCTTTCATGAAATCTTATGCACCATTCAACTTCCCATGTTCTGCAAGGGACAGAGCCCCCCCAAAAGTGAGGAACTATTCTTTTGTGTATTTAACTACTGAATATACCTGAGTGTGAATTCTAGCTTTCCTGTTTATTCATTGTATGAACCATCTACCCTTTTTGAGGCTCAATTTTATCATCAGCAAATAGGGGATAATAATATGTAGCTAATACAGTTTTGAGAGAATTAAATGAGAATGTATGAAAAGCATTTATCTATGTGCCTGGAACTTAGATAGTAAAGAAATTACTCTCCTCTTCTGTATGAGGGCTGGATGCCCAAATGATGGTCAGAGCACTTCTGCCCTCAGGCTTTGCAGTTGAGCAATAAGATAATCAACTTTAGATTTCTTAGCAAAGGCCTTCTACATATTTCCTAGATGATTCAAAAATATTGAATTTTCTGCTGCTTTCTGTCAAGTCAAATGGTAAGATGTTGCTAATCATGGTTTTCACCCACCCAGGTCAGAAATTACATCAAAAAAGCCCGGATGGAAGGGGCCCAGATTCTGTGTGGTGAGGGGGTGGACACATTGAGCCTCCCCCGCAGGAATCAAGCAGGATACTTTATGCTTCCCACAGTGATAACAGACATTAAGGATGAATCTTGCTGCATGAAGGAAGAGATATTTGGGCCAGTGACATGTGTTGTCCCCTTTGATAGTGAAGAGGAAGTGATTCAAAGAGCCAACAGCGTTAAATACGGACTGGCAGCCACAGTGTGGTCCAGCAACGTGGGCCGTATCCACCGGGTGGCTAAGAAGTTGCAGTCAGGCTTGGTCTGGACCAACTGCTGGCTCATCAGAGAGCTCAACCTGCCTTTTGGGGGGATGAAGAGTTCTGGGGTAGGTCGAGAAGGAGCCAAGGACTCTTATGAATTTTTCACTGAAATCAAAACCATCACCATTAAACACTGACCTTGGCCGGTGGAGAAGCTGTTATGGTCCATTCCTGGCTGCAGAGAATCAGTCCAATGCAGTGAGCAGATGTGCCGGCATAGAATCCAGCCATATCTTGGCTCCGTGGGTTTTCTCTACCTTATCCTCAGTAGTTCGTACTTTTATTCATTGTCAGAGAGGATGTCTATTTTCACTGTGAAGTCAAAGAAGAGACTTCTGAGCAGGAAGGCACAAAAAGGAAGCCAAATAATTGTAAGGCTCCTTCTCTGTTGTTGTCTTCACTCTAGATTTTTTTCATCATTTTGATTGAATTCTTGGGAATTTACAGATAATCATTTTTTTTTCATTTTTAAATATATATATATGAATGTAAAGGATAAATATACATGGAATTTGTCAGAGCAGGCCTATATGGTAGGTCCCACTAAATACATCTGTACAAGGACAAAGAAAATTAAAATAATGACTACTTTTGGAGGAAACCTGAAGCAAGAAGTGGGAATAGTTTGATCCATTTCTACTCTGGAGTCTAATCAATTCCAATTCTTCGTGTCTGTCTCTCGTGAGGCTTACAACCCACTAATCCTAAAAGAATAAATGTTAAGCAATTTTAGTAGCCAGTATGACATAGGTCTTCTTCTTCAATTATCCTTTATTCCTCTTTATCCCTATCCTCTTAGGGGTATGGACTTTATGCAAAGTAATAAAGGTATTTCTCATGGCTTTTTTCTGGATCCCCTAATGATCAGAGGAGAAAAGCGAGGTTTACAGAGATTAAAGTAGCATGTTCAAGGTCACACGAATGGTATGGGGCAGAAGAAGGATTTGAACCCAGGGCTGGCTCTCAGTATCCAAAACCACGATCTCTGACTACCTCACACTTGCCTTGGGTTCTGCTCCAGAAGCAGCCACATACTTATGGTTCATGGAATACATCGTGTTGGGTCTCCTCTCTATGTCTCCCTCCCTCTCCCCCTCTCCCCTGCCCCACTCATCCATGCAAGCCAGGAACTCCTCAGGCACAGCCCTTCCTACACCAACTGAAACCATCTGTTTGCATGGCTGACTGCCCAGCTGGACAGGAATTGCCTGAAGGCCCAGGCAGGTGCTAATCCCCCCAAAGTCTCCATTCCCAGCACAGTGCCTGGCACACAGAAGGTGCGCAAAACAATTTCCAGGAATGGAATGAAGTCTTCCCGGTGCTCTGGGGTATTTGTAGCATGGTGTATGGGGATAGGGGTTGGGTCGGAGGGGGGACAAAATAGTCTTCACCGTTTGTGTAGGTTTTCGGATATGTTGGCTTGTTCACAAATGCTGAAAAACATAAGCCCTTTTGAGGTCAAGCAATGGTATTGGATCATATCTGGTTCTTAGCTTCTCCCTCCCCTCCCCTCTCCTTTTCTCACCTGCCCTGTTCTTCAGCTCAGGTCCCGGAGTCTTCATTAGTTAAATCTAGATCAATTCCAAGAGTCAGTAGGAGGAATTTGAGCAGCTCCTAGTCTCTAAGAACCCACATCTTTGTTCTTGTACGTGGTCTAGCCCAAGCTCATCCTTATTTCTGAGACCTGAGCCACGTCTTGATTCCACATTCTGGTGACTGAAGGTCTTTGCTCCCTGTGCCTCAATACCCGCCTCGAGTGCCCCCCCCCCCCCGCCTTGTGTTCTGCCTCCAAGACTGTTCTCTAGGACATGGAGTTGGCCCTGCTCCCGTCCCTTCTTGTCGGGCTCTGGATCCTGTCTTGCGGAGGGGACTGCTTCCTACTGACAGACAGACATTCTGGATGCCATTTCCCTCGTCTGTGCCTCTTTGGATCTTCCGAAGCTTCTCCCGGCACATGTGGCAGTCTCGCTGACGTCTGTTTGACCAGATGCCGTTCTTCCTCACGCCAACACCGGCGCAGCTCTCAGTTGTGAACACCAGTGGCTTGATGTCTTGGCACCCACGGGGCCTTTTTTCGTTTGTTCTAGTCTAGCCGGCCTGGGGTGTGTGTGCGGGGCTTAGTTCCAAGACCTTCCCCTCCCAGGCCGTCCCACACGGTCTCAGGCCCCGCGTCAGCTTAGGTGCCCTGTGGGTCTGTGCCGGCGCGACGACAGGGTCCGGCAGAGCAGGGCCGGGCCTGGGTGGCCGCAAGGCCCCGGGTCCCCTGCCTGCCTGCCGGACTCGGGGCCGCTCAGGAAAGCGCTCAGAGGGGCTGCACGACGGCTTCACTCGTATCTGTCGAGTTTTATTTCTGAGCCGGGTGATGGGTGCTCGCGTGTTTGCTACGGTCTTTCACGCGCAGGAACTACAGGCCCCAAAGGGAAAGTGCCTCCTAGTGACGGACAGCCTGGCGCCCGCGCGCAGGAAGCCGGGAGCGCGTAGGGCCCCTCCTCGTGGCCGCGCCGCGGCGGTGCGGGCTCCGGGGGCCCCGAGCGAGAGCCGGCGCGGAGGGGGCGGGGGCGGGGACTTCGGGGACTTCCGGGAGCCGAGCCTCGGGGCGTGCCTAGCGGGGCTGCGCAGTCCCCGAGGTCTCCGGGTCACAGGCGGATGCAGATCCAGTAGGTGCGGGTGGGCCCGCTCGTACTTGGCGTGTCAAGGAATCAGAGGCCCCCACTTGCAGCGCGGAGGAGGTAGAAGGAAAGGCAGCTCCGCCCAGGAGAGACATCCCCTAAAGCGTCTCGCCGCGCAGGTAAAGAAAGTCCTCCTTCCGTTGCTCCTTGGGAGGAGGGTGCACACTGCCTCAAAAGAAGCCTGTCTCTGACCTGCCCACACGGACATGTAGGGCTAGCCCCCCATCCAGGGAGGGGTGGTGCAGGTAAACTGCCCTTCCAAACCACAGAAAGTAACTTTGCCGACTACCTGTAATAATCAACCAGTACGCTTTTTATTCAGCGTTATTACTGGTCAGTCAAGGATCATGAACAATTTGGTGAAAGAGCAACTCACCCGGGGAGAAAAAGATCAAAGAAGATGTTGAACGCTGAATTCGTCCCAGAGAGTTGAGCGCCCAGCATGTTCGTCACCACAGCGCGCGGCTATGCAGAAGGAGGGAGCCAGGGACACGAGAGAGGCCTTGAAAATGAAACATTGGCTCCCCAAATAAAATGAAAAATCAAAAGAATTGAATCATTGGTTTGGCTGACAGCTAGCGTACTAATCTGGAAGGTCAAGTTGAGAGAGTAGCTCAGGATGCAGAGAATGACAGAAAGGGAAAATATAAGAAAGAAGTCGAGATGGAGGGTAGATCCAGAAAGCTGGTAATAGTGTAATTCATCTGAGGTGAGAGAACAGAGGTAGAGAAGCAAATAAATGATAAAAATGAGTATCTCTGAACCAAAAAACTTTCCGATGAAAAACACTCCCCATGTGCCTGGAGCTATTCTGCTGAAATTTAAAAATTCCTAACATAAAGCTTGCAGAGAGAATTACCAGGATACCTGCAAGCTCCGCCCCCCAACCCCCCCCAAACCACAAATACAAGCCTAAGGTTGTCATCATACATTTTCCATTAATAATACTGATTTTGGAAGACAGGAGAGCAAGATTTCAAAGTTCTCAGGAAACATTATTTTGAACCTAAATGTTATAGCCAGCTAGCCTGTTACTCAAAGATCCAGGCAAAATGAGCCAATGACTCAGGAAGTTTCTCCTGTTTACTTTTCCCTGGGTGACTTGGGATATACCTTAGGAGAAGGAAAAACGAATCCACAAACAGCAGAACTGCTGAGGAACAAAATGAAAAGAAATTTCAAATTATCAGCAGCAAATGGACCTAGAAAGCAGTTGGCCCAAAGTAGAACACAGTAGACAGGGGGTGGTGATTGATGAACACTGATTAATAAAATGTGTAACAATCTGGAAGATGTTCAATCTGTCAAAAGGTCCACCTATGTTTATCCTCTCCATTTGAATAAAGGGAACTAAAACTATTCAGAAGTGTTGATAAGATGAAACGAACTGAAGTGTGACATGACTTGGAAAAAGAGAAAGGGTGTAAATAAAGGGAATGCATTTTTCCATTATTTTTTGGATGGATATTTTTTGTGACATAAGGTCACATTTCTATCTTTATGGGCCTTACATACCACTTGGTTCTTTAAAAAAAAAAAAAAAAAATTCTTGATTGATTTGCCAGAGAGAGAGAGAGAGAGCACACAAGCTGGGGGAGTGGCAGGCAGAGGGAGAAGCAGGCTTCCCTCTGAGCAAGGAGGCCAATGTGGGACTCTATCCCAGGACCCTGGGATCATGACCTGAGCCTAAGGCAGATGCTTAACCCACTGAGCCACCCAGGCATCCCCATGCTACTTGGTTCTGCAATTAGTATTTATATAATCTTAATATTATGAATGTCTCTCACTGGCTTTCAGTTTTTAAAGTTGAGCTACAAAGTACAGAAAACTAACTTAAAATGACAGAACAGTACAGAGGTTCAAGCCGGGATGATGGGACCATAGCAAACACCCGAGCACCCATCACCCAGCTCAGAAATAAAACTCAACAGATATGATTGAAGTCAGGAAGAGGAAAGGGTGAGCCAGAGGCTAGCCTGTGGGGATCTACTTTCCTCATCTTACAGCACGGGGAGTGGGCCCATGATGCCAGAAGGCAATGAATCAAGAGCAAGGATTGAGGCAGATTATTTAAAGTGATGCATGTACCCATTCAAGATCTCAAAATGTTAATGTCACTAACAAAAATTAGTGACATTAACAGGTGAAATGCAGGTGAGCTCAGGTGTTAAATGCACACACCTTTCCTCATAGGAAGCGGATATGTATTATTTGATGTTGATAAGACCAGAAACACAGGCACACACATACGGATTAGTTCTGTGGTATAGAAGACCTCCAACCAAAACTGTTTAAAAATGGTTGCTTCTGGAACAACTGGGTGGCTCAGTTGGTTAAGCGTCTGCCTTCAGCTCAGGTCATGACCCAGGGTGCTGGGATCGAGTCCCGCATTGGGCTCCCTGCTCAGCGGGGAGTCTGCTTCTCCCTCTGCCCCTCCCCCTGCTTGTGCTCTGTCTCTGACCTAAAAAAAAAAGGTTGCTTCTGAGAAGTAGAACTATGGCCAGGCAAAGGGGTATTTAGCATAACGGAGAGAGTTTCATTTAAATCACGAGGGACCTTTAGAGTTTATTTTTTTAACATGTTATGAGCAGCCTTTTGTAAATAATAGCATATATATTTAAAAGCTCTTCCAGCGAGTGATGCTTTTTTATACATGTGGGAATTGGGAGAATGTGCTCTACACTGTCCAGGGTATTCTAAGCCCCTGGCCCTCTGAGCCCCCCTGAGCCCTGGTTGCCTTGAGAGATCTGAGATTCTCCTGGTGTCCTGGAGGCTCAGCCTGATTGTGGAGAACCTGGGAAACCTGCCCCAGGTCAGGTCAAGGGAGGAAGACTCCTCCGGTGCCCCTGGTGTGGCCAGTCTGCTCAGCAGGGCGTTCCAGAGAGGCAGACCCCAGGAGAACCTCCTTCCCATGGCTTGTGCATGGAGGGTGAGGGGCAGTCCAGGGTAATTCACCTGCCTCAGGCCATCCATACTGTATTTCCCCTAAGCCTGAGCTGAGACTTTTAAAAGAAAATGTCAAAGGCTGTAGTCCTTTTTGGCTTTGGATTTGCTTATCTGCTGGGAATTGCCTGTGTCCTTTTCCCGGCGATGACTGCGGCTCCTGTGACCTACATTAAAGGTAGGGGGACCCACCCCTAGGATGTTGCATGGACAAGACCCTCACTTCAGGCTTTTCCAATGAGGGTTTCAGGGTGTAGCTTTAGGAAGACATTTTGTTCATGGGTGTCTAAAGCAAGCCTTCTGGAACGTGTCCTCGTGGTCATTAGCCTAACCGGTCTAAGCATTCACGTCGTCAGTATTGGCTGCCATGCTTGTCAGGACCCCAATCAGTGCTGACTCACCCCAGGGCCTGTGCAAAGCATCAGACTCACTTATTCTGAGGCTTCTGCCAAAGATATGATAGGCAACCTTTTCTGGGAAGAGTCCTATTTCTGATTGCACACGGCCATTCATTAAGCACTGGGAATTTGCCTAATGTTGCCCGTTAGCAAAGGATATGTCATGTCCTCACTCGGATTACACTTTCCCTTCCCACACCTCATGGCATTCCTCATCCACATTCCTCAGACCAATCTTTTTTCAGGAGGTATCATCATACTCCAACCTCATCTTGTAATTGCCATTCCAGTGTGACTCAACGATTTCCAATAATGCACTGAAAAATACTCCTCGGAATATGAAGGACCAGTGAGGTCATTGAATCATAGCAAGGTAGCATTGCCAGGGATCCTGAGATCATCCTGTGCAACTCCCTATTTCCCGATGGACCACTGAGGCACAAAGAGGTTAAATGGATTGCCAAAGATCTTACAGCAAACACTCCCTCCGAGGGGAACTGGAAGTACAGAAATAGACAAGCATCAGAGAGAGAGGGGTATTCTGAGGACAATGAAAGATAATTGCAAATTCTAGTAACTATTTTGGACTTCCCTCCCACAGATAGTAAGCAGCTGGCCTCTATATCCACTGAGGACAAGATACAGGGGAGAAAAGGGCCTTAATTACCATTTGAGTTTATACATAAAATTAGAAGTACTTTATTTTAATGTTTCAAGCTCAGAAGTAGTGGATGGTGGGAGAGGGTGGAAACCCCTTTTCCGGAGGACTCCAAGCACAGGTGGTGCTCCTGCGAGGTGGTGTGGGGTGAGGGGTGGGGGAGCAGTCACTGATTCTGTGTCACTTTTGTTGGGGGCTCTCGCGCCAGGTGCCACCTGTCTGAGTGGGAGCCGATCTCTAGGCCGGCATCTCATCAAGGTGTCCACATATCAGATCACAGGCTCTGCCGCTGGGAAATAAGCTCCCAGAGTGCACAAAATCCTAAATAGGAGAAATCAGATTTTCATAGGTAAAAACTTGACGATCAGCCTATTTATCCCTTCTGGAGGTTTTGGAACTATTTCTCTGATGTGTGAAGTGCACCAAAATACACGCTTCTTGTGTCCTTTTTGCATTAATTTTCGGTCTTTGGGGAAAGGCACTCTCTCAGTTTGTAGTAATAAATCACCAGAAAGCAGTTCTGAGGGGTTATTTATAACTTTCTGGGATCCCGAGGCCACTGGCTGAGACTTGGGCTGTTTGTGGTCTGCAGTCAGACTGAGCTCCATCATCGGAATGGCTATCGTCCTGGTCCCCACGGCAGCAACATAAAAGTGCTTTTGGAAGCACCTACTCTGAGCTGAGCGGACTGAGCCTCCTCCCCTGTCCTGCTCCTTCCTCTGATATCCTAAATAAAGGGAGAGAGTTCACAGCGCCTGGACAGTATTTGCAGAAAATGTACTGCACCCTTTCCTCAGGATGTGTTTCGTGCCTTCTAATCTTGAGAAAGACTAAATCCCTGAACTTAAGGTTAGAAATAATTAGGCAAGAAAATCCCTTCTCTTGATTTCTTGTAACTATCCAAAATGATGAGTCGTGGAAAAATCGCTGCAGGTCAGATTTCTCACTCTTCCTGAACCTTTGCACCGTATTGTTTATAGAAAGAATATGACATCCCTTGGCATGATAAGGTGAGCGTTGCTATTTCTGCCTTTGGACTGTTCATTATGCTTTGCTATCATAAGCAGAGAAGCAGATAGCTGCAGAGACCTAAAAAAAAAAAAAATACCATGATTACTTGGGATTGTTCAGCACATTGCTGTAGAAAACACCTCCTTTTGTTTTGGCAAACCCATTTTGGAAAAGTGATTTAAATCTTGGCAGCAATAGATAGCTTTTTACATCCTATTTTGATTGAGGTCAATCACACAGTGAGCAACATCTAATTTTTAAGCTCTGAAGGGCTTTGGGTGGCCCAGTCTTCTTTTTCTTTTTCAGTGATTGACATATTTTGAAACCGATATAAACATCATCTCCATGTTTCACATAAAGTGC